AAGTCATATAACTAGGAAGCCATATAACTAGGAAGTCATATAACTAGGAAGTCATATAACTAGGAAGTCATACAACTAGGAAGTCATATAACTAGGAAGTCATATAACTAGGAAGTCATATAACTAGGAAGCCATATAACTAGGAAGCCATATAACTAGGAAGTCATATAACTAGGAAGCCATATAACTAGGAGCATCAGTTGGGACTGGACCTTAGGAAAGTCTACTCCAAAGACTACTTTTAACCACCAGGCTATTCTGTCTTTCTGCATAAAAAGATTGTTCATTTTCCATCCTCTACATTAAGTGGACAATGCTTAGAAAATAGCAAGAACTAAAAATTTACAGAATCCATTTTGTCTGAGAAAGGCAGAATTCCAAAATTAGGAATGAAGAGTTTAAAAAGATGTTTTTGGAATTAGAATCAGCAAACTGAAAAAATAGAAAGGTCCCAACTGATAAATCATCAACATTTATTTAAATTTTACTCTGTATAGCTGGCCAATAAATGTTATAACTTGTATGTTGCTAAAATTGATTTTGTTCCCAAAGAGTTAAACTCTCTAGCATAGCATACCGGGCAACATATGCCTTCCTTACCAGTCCAGAGGCCCTGGGGGCCTCTTTCTGTTCCAGCAGCCAGTGGTGATGGGTGCCCCAGATGACCTCCTCCCTCCAGCTGTGAAATCACAGCAGGTTTAAGAAGTGGAAACCCTGTTTGGGGGAAAGGAAACAGGACAGACAGGTGAATAATCTCCCACAGATGAGCTCCTAAACCTCTTCTCAGATTACCTCAGCAATGGGGAGGGATGTTAGGAGCCCCAGGGGATCTCATACCTAAGAACTATGGGACAGGGGGAGGGGCTCGAAGGTGTATGTTGGTCAGTGCTTGAAAAGATGTGGGAACAGTTGGAAAGGGCCTACATTGTGGGCCTAAGAGACCTCAGGAGATGCAGGCAGGGTGAGGAAGAAACTGAAGATAATGCTATGGAACAGGAATTTACTTTTTTCCATACTGTGTCCAAAATACAGCTTTTCTAGGGGTAGATCAAGAGTGCATGCCAGTCCCAGCAAAGTCCTATACTGGTCCAACAAGGGCTTAGGGTTCACCCTTCCCAGAAACCCAAGTGCAGGGGATTAGGAATTTCAACCTCTGGGGTTCCCACTCAGTAAAGGGTTACTATTACCACTGACCTCATCTGCAGAAAGCCAGGAAACCCCAACTAGCAGAATTTGGGTCCCAGGGGGAGAGAGGCCTTACCCAAGGAGGACACATTCCCATAATTCTCCAGCATCACATCCCTGTACAGGGCCCTCTGTGCAGGGGACAGGCTGTCCCATTCCATCTGGGTGAAGTACACAGCCACATCCTCGAAGGTCACCGACTTCTGAAACAACAGGTTCCTGCTGCCCTAGGGCCAATTCCATGGCTCAGGCCCTAAGTGAGGGGCAGAGGGCAGTATAAGGGCTTGGGGAGGGAGCTTGTGAAAAGCACAGAATTAATAACAAGGGGAAAGATTTGAGGAAAAGCACCTGGAGAGTAAACCATGGAATATCTTATTTCTCTCACAGCAGAGAAACCATGCCCTTTTTTACAGTTACAAAAGATACCATAAGTTGGAATGAAAGAAAAAAATTCCCACAATCAAGTCCCGTAAAGCAACTCCATTCTTTCAGTTAAGCCACTTCCTCACTGGAGGGCGTGGCTCAGGACCGACCCACCAGCATTCCCACTTCATCCCTTTCAGGTCCGGCTTTTCCATCCCTCTCCCCACATCCTGCCCTCACCCACAAACCTCAAGCCGCTCACAAAGAACAGCATGGCCCCCATCTCATTCAGCCCCTATCACTGACCACCCCCACAGGGGCCGTGCAGTCTCTGGCGAGCACTCCAGCAGCTCAGCACTGCCCAGATTGGCAGGAGGTAGGGGGCAGCAGCCCATTCTGCTTCCAGATGGGTCTCACTGCAAACCCAACATTTTCTGTTACCCTCTCCCATTCAAGCTTCATCCTTTCCAATTTCACCCAAGAATTCACTATTTCTCCAAGAAGAATCTGGAAAGAGGGAAGATCAGCCTTCATGCCGGCCAGCTCCTCAGCCACCCTTCTGGCTGCTCCTCTTCAAACCACTATGCTCTGTGGTCAGCACAGGCTCTGCCACTCAGGGCTGATGCCTCATGCCTCTAGCAGGCCCAAATCCTCCCTTCTGGGCGGCTGTGGCCCCTAGCTGCTTTTCCTCTGCCCACCTCAGTCTTCTGTAACAACCCAGGGGATGCACCAACAGAGTTACCCTCAGTTCCTCTGCCAGGATCTGTCTTGATTCTACTGACCTCCATCCATCAACAATTCTAGTCTAACCTGTGGGTGTTTCTCTGTCACTTGTCAGATGACCCTGGACAGGTCAAGTAACTTCTCTGCACAAAATTAAATGCCTTTACTACCTGCTGCCACCATCCTTTACCCCAAGTTGTGCTTCCTCCTGAATCCAAATGTCAGTGTCACCCACCACCATCTATGCAAGAAACCTCAGCTAGAATCCTGGGGATCATTTTTTACTCCTCCCACTCCCCTTGCTTCAGCCCCAGTCCTTTGACTCTCTACATCCTAAAGATTTTTATGTGAAGCATTACTTGAATTGGATCCCCCCTTCTTTAACATCTGCTTTCACTGATGAAGCCCACATCACCTGGGCCAGTGAAATTCTTTCTGAAGTTGTTACCTTGCTTTTCAATCTCCCCTGAAAATTATTCCCTAGTCATCACAAATCTGACCACCTTACCTTCACTGTTTGCATACATGTCGTAGGGTTGAGCAACTAAGAATCAAACAATGGCTGTGTGACCTTGGGTAAGTCACTCTACTTCCTTTGCCTTCAGGTCTTTCATGGTACAATGGGCACAACACAACACCTATCTGAGAGGGTGGTTGTCAGGACTGAGCAATCCAGTTAAATGTTCAGTGTGGTGCTTGTAGCATAGTAAGCCTCAAATTACGTTACTGGAGTTACCATGATTATAATTACACCCCACCTGCAGTCCATGAAGGCCCAGGGATGAGCTTCAGGGGACCCATGTAAATATATGGAAATTGTATGGAAAAACTGGTCTGCATGTTTATTTTTCTGGGGGAGAGGGTTCAGTGCTCTTATCAGAGACCTAAAATTTGAGCCCCTGCACCCCAATCCCTAAAGCCTCTCCAGGACACAATGAGACATCTTGTTTCAAAAGACTTCCTATCTTTTTCCCCTCTCGACCCCACTCTATTCCCTACCTTCCCCTGAATTAAAGGAACAGCCATCCTTTACGTTGATCTGGTCCTGCTATTCCTCCTCACCTACATCCGGGTCCCGGGAAATCCTAATCCTCTGCTATCCTCCTCTATTCATTTCCATGTTCACAACATCCTACATGGGTAGCTTCCATGTCGCCCATTCACCAAAGAAGCAAAGAACCTCAGAGTGCAAACGACTCCACTCCTGTCTTTGGGCACACTCCCCTGGTGCTGCCATCCTTCATACCACCACTCTTCTCACAAGCTTCAGGCCAGCAGGAGGAGGCATGGAGGGCCCCTCCGGTTTTCATCGCAAGGCTCACCAGCTTCCCTCCTCAGTTTTCTTCAATTTGACACTGCTCAGAGGAAGAGCCGAGGGACTCACAGCTCACCTGGGGCCAGGCCGTCAGCAGCATGGCTGCCATCAACTGGTCTCCCTCTCAGAGAAGGGCTGAAGCTGAGGAAAAAGAGAGACAAGTGTGAGGCAAGCCACCCCGACCAGGACACTCCAGGTCCTCAGACAAGCCTGAATCCAGATAGGAGTGCTGGCGGCAGTGGTCCGGAAAGAAGGGAGGGAGCTGTTCACTGGCTCAGGCCCAGGACTCCTCCCAGCCATGACACTGATGCTCACTGCCAGGAGCCCTAGATTTTACAATTTTGACACATATCATAAACATAAAAGAGTGTACACAAAACATATGGAAAACCTAAAGAATAATAAAACAAAGACTCATATAGCAACAATTCAGCTCAAGAAATAGAACATTACCAGGACCTTGGACTTCTTTCTTTCTCCAAACAAGCATCATTCCCACTTACTGCCAAAGAGGCCATGCTGGCAGGGCACCAGCGCAAGCACAGAGGCCTTGGAGTCAGGCCCCAGGGAGGCAGCACCTGCAAAAGGGCCTAGCTGCTCCCCCGCATCCTGCCTGTGCTCCCACACAGCTGAGTTCCTCAGGAGTCCTGTTGCCCCTGTAGAGATCTTGAGGTCAGCCAAGCTGGACTTAGAGTGAAGTCCCAGGTTGCCCCTCATACTTCCCAGCCTTCTGACAGCAAAGCTGAGGCCTCAGCAAACTGAGACGAAGGTATGACTACTGCATCTAGGACCCCGTGACCCAGTGCCTTTTGTTCATTACATTCAAAACACGTGGACTAGTTATTTTCTGACTTTTCCTGCTCTCAGAATCAGTCTCAAAAATGTATGTTTTGTGCTTTTGGAGGACACCAGACTACAAATGGCTTTTTTTCTAAATTCACAATTTGTTCATTTACAGTTGACCATTGAACAACATGGAATTTAACTGCACAGGTCCACTTACGTGTGGATTTTTTCCCATAAATATACTGGAAAAAATTTTGGAGATTTGTGACAATTTGAAAAACATTTCCTTTTTTCTAGCTTACTTCATTATAAAGATATAGCATTTAATATCCATAACATACAACATATGTGTTAACTGACTGTGTGGGTCAACAATAAGCTATTAGTAGTTAAGTTTTTTGGAGGGGTCAAAGTCATTGCAGATTGGGGGGGGGTGCGCAGCGGGAGGTCAGGACCCTTACACACACACACACACACACACACACACACACACACATACACACACCAGTTGTTCAAAGGTCAACTGCATTTTCACTCTTTCCTGCTAGGCAATTAAATCAGAAAGGCCAACTTCACACCAGTTAGGACGGCCAACATTCAAAAGAAGCAACAACACATGCTGACGAGGATGAGGAGAAAGGGGGGGGGCCCTCCTACACTGCTAGTGGGAACGTAAATTAGTTCAATCATTGTGGAAAGCAATATGGAGGTTCCTCAAAAAACTAAAAACATAAATACCATTTGACCCAGAAATTCCACTCCTAGGAATTTACCCTAAGAAAAGAGGATCACAGATTCAAAATGACATGCACCTCTATGTTTATCGCAGCACTATTTACAATAGCCAAGATAACGGAAGCAACCTAAGTGTCCATCAGTAGATGAATGGATAAAGAAGATGTGGTACATACACACGATGGCATATTATTCAGCCATAAGAAGAAAACAAATCCTACCATTTGCAGCAACATGGATGGAGCTAGAGGGTATTATGCTCAGTGAAATAAGCCAGGCAGAGAAAGACAAATACCAAATGATTTCACTCATATGTGGAGTATAAGAACAAAGAAAAAAACTGAAGGAACAAAACAGCAGCAGACTCACAGAACCCAAGAATGGACTAAGTTACCAAAGGGAAAGGGGGTGGGGAGGGTGGGTGGGAAGGGAGGGAGAAGGGGATTAAGGGGCTTACGATTAGCACACATAATATGGGGTGGGGGGACAGGGAAGGCGGTATAGCACAGAGAAGACAAGTAGTGACTCTGTAGCATCTTAGTATGCTGATGGACAGCGACTGCAATGGAGTATGTGGGGGGAACTTGGTAACAGGGGGGAATGTAGTAATCTCAATGTTGCCCATGTGTATCAGTGATACCTTAACAAAAAAAGGCCATAAATTTTCCTCTGAAACCACTATTAGCCACATTCTAGAGGATTTTTTAATATTTTATGTTTTCAGTACTACTTTTATAGTATATTTTTAATAAGTATGCTTTTCATGAGGGTATGCATAAGCAACTCTGGACTATTTCATGTGTATTTTAGGATTGAGTATGTCAGTAACTACACTGTAACAATCACTCCAGGTTACTGTCATCCCACAGCCCGGGAAATGTAGGGCCACGTTACCCTTTGGAACTGACACCGCTCCAGAAGACAGCGCCCTCCAAAAGTCGGGCTTCTTCCCTCTGGTGGCTGGGCGCAGGTCTGCTTTTTCTGCTCTCCCACTGGGCCCTGATTCACGACGCTACGTTAGAGCCAGGGAGCATGCAATCCATACTTGAAACGCATACAGGTGAAGGCCACTACACGACCTCAACATTCCTAAAGACTGCTGATATCACCTCAAGCCGCTTCACCCCGGCAAATATTCCTCTCTCTGGCTGCTCCGATATAACTTCCCCAGAGGCCGGTAGCATCTTCCCCCAAAGAAACTGCTGAGTGCTCGCGGCTTCATGGACGAGAAAGTGACCTAGGCTTCGCCGTCCCCGGGACGGAACGTATTCAGCCACCAAGTCCAAAGCGGGAGCCCAGGAAAAGCGAAAGACCCCTGGCGGCCGCCCTGCTCCCTCCCGCAGGCGTCGGAGGCCCAGCTCCACCCAGGGCTTAGGCGCTTCCCAACCACACCCGGCGCCGCATGTCCAGGGCACCGCCTCCGCTGCCGCAGCCCACACTCACCTCAGCAGCGGGCGGCTCCGCGGCGCGGCAGGAAGTGCGTCACCGGGTCAAGGCGGAGTTCCTCTCTAGGAACGCCGTTGCTCCTGCTCGGTGGTACTGCGACCCCGCCCGCGGTGGCTGAAGCCCGGGGCTCCAGGGGAGCATTCAGATCTCAGGATGGCTTCGGAATCTGTATCGTAGTAAAGTTGCCGGTGCAACCAGATTTGGTCTCCGGGCTGGACCGGTGGGTCGCACGCTATCAAATTTTTATAACACATATTTCCTGGTGACCACTTTATTTTTCGGCCATTAAATTCCTATATAATGACTGAAAAGATCATAGATAATATAAGCAACCTGTATTTTAAAAACTGTTATGCATTAACAGTAACAAAGCAAAAATAAAAGGAAGACAATTTGCAATTATAAATACATATTTCAATACGTAAATGTTTGGTCGTGACTGCTGTAGGAAACCTAACGAAGTGGTCAGATACTTGCCTTTTCACACAGAATGTGCCTGAATGCCACAGCCTTACTGGTGTTTCGAAAATCACAAGGTGTGATACAAAACGGTGAACGCTTTTGGCAAAGTTTAAATGAAACCCAGTACAATCTTCTCTTGATAATACAGTAATTATATTCCTGAAGAATCAGTGTACCTTAAGACTGTGCATAAACACATTGTGTTTATCTGAAAATCAGATTCTAGATTCAGGTAACTTATAAACAGTTTTTACCTACATGAATGTCCAGCAAGACATACGAGTCTGAAAACTTTAAATCGGTGAAACGCACACTATGCATTGCAAGATTTGTGGCACTCCTGGCTTCCATCCAACATCACCTAACATTGTAATAAAAATACTCCCATAAAATTCCAAAATGGGTCCTGGAGGAAGGGGAACAGCACTAAAATTCAATGGATTCAACCATCCTTAGGTTCCCTTCCAACCCTGGTAATGCAGCCTTTGTTCTTCCGGCGCTGATCCTTCTGTGCTGTGATGCGGCCCAAAGGGTGGTCCCTGCCCCTACTGGCCTCTCCAGCCTCTCAGCGCTCCCATTCTCCCTCTCTCAACTTCAGCACCGCTTGCTGAACATGCTGCTCTCCAAATGGAGAATACCTTTCCCTCCCCATTCCCACCCTCCCTCTGGACTCTTACTCGGAGCCCTAGCTCAAATCCCATTACCCTTGGAAAGCAGGCCTCCCTTGGGCACGCCGAACAAGGCAGGCCTCCCAGTTTGTGTCATCACAGCACTCCATACTTTTCAGTACTTGGCATGCTTGTTATTATTTAATAGTGACAGCTTATTTATATACATGTCTTCTCTGGCCACTCCAGGGAGCAAGGACTATGTCTTGTTCAATATCATTATCTTCAGCTAAACCACAAGGCCTGGCACAAAGGAGGCATGCTGTAAGCATTTGTTGTTGACATGGCCCAAAGGCTCCAGCCCCAGCTCCAGGGTAGAACCCTTCTTTGCTTTTGTGCTTCTGAAGGTAGGACATGTCTTATGCCTGGGATCATGACATTGACCATTGCCAGGAGCCTTTCTCTGCTTCGTCCTGACCCTGATCATCACTGTTTCCCAAAATGAGCACTTTACATGGGTTCTCTTTTCCAGATAGGAAAATGGTTTCATGACTGGGCAGAATGATAGCTGGGGATTACATTGCTCTTGGCAATAAGTGCTATTTCCACGTCTTCCTAGGCTCAGAAAGCAGAACTTTAGCTAAAAATGAGGGCTTATCTAAAGAATTAGGAATAAACTAGGAGCTCACAGTATCAACTGTGATATACAGAAATAACTGTGTCATACAGAAATACCCCAAATGTTTGATCATAAACCAGTCATCAAATTTTATAGATGAGAAAATAAGACCTCCTTAGAAAACAAGAAAATAAGTAAACATGAAGCCCCTACTCCTAGGAGTGCTAGGACAGGTACATGCCATGTTACTAAAGCTCTGCAGAAGGCCTGCAGCAGCAGGGACCACTTCTGTCAATTCCTGTTCTTCCCTTCTAATATGGTAACAAAATCTCTCACAAGCCAAAGACATTCCAGAAAAAATAACACCCTTCCTGGCCCACTATAGCAAAATGTGGCTATGTGATCAACTTCTGGCAAATAGTCTATAGGAAAAAACAACATTATGTCCTTAAAGAGAAGGTACGTGCCTCCGTGGCCCAGTACTCACATCTACTAGATGAAATGCTGACAAGGGGGCAAACATCTTGCACCATGTGGATGAGAATGTGACTCCTGGCAGTGACAGAGCATCTAGGAGTAGTTGTGGAGCTCCTGTACCAGCCCTAGCCTGCTTACCTTCAGATGATGTATGAGTGAGAAATAAGCTTTCATCATATTTAAACCACATTGATTTGAGTTCATCAAATCAGTACCCAAGACCATATGCTAACTAAATCCCCTTTAAGTGAGGGATGATGGAAAAATCACACAGCATACTCAAAAATTTAGGCTGGTTCTCATATTTCAGTGTTTAGGAAATCTACCTCTATGCTGGGCCTGGAGCCCCATTTCCTCCTGCTCAGCTCTAGGGCTTCTTCTCGTGTACCCTCTGTCCTCACAGTCCCAGAGCCTCCCAAAACCCTTCCTCCCTGTCCACTGGAAACTGACAAATACTGTCACATTAAAAGCTTCTTTGGTGTTTCCAGTTTTAAGATGACACAGTAAATATTGTTCTGCCTGCTTCTTTTCTTAAAAATTGTGGGAAAACAGTAAGAGTCTGGTTGGGGCTCATTCCAGTAATTCAAGGATATTTCAATGCGATAAAATCTTCCTTTACTTATTGTGAATTAAATGAACAAACCATTCAACCTACTATGTGGAGAAATATACTAAGGTAGGGAGAGGTCTTATTCAAAAAAGCAACAAAGTAACCAAAAATATTTAGGAACAAACTTAAAAGTAAATGTTTAAGATATAGATGAACAAAAATTTAAATATCAAAGACTAAGTGAAAGGGTATCTCACCACGAACCTCCTTATCCCAAAATGACTCAGGAGACACGGGCCCACGCAAGAGATTTTATCACGTGAAAGAGAAAACGGCTGCCCCCAGAGAGAGGAAGCAGCAGCTCGTGGGTGAGGAAGTGCGTTTTTAAGGAGTAGGGGTTAGGGTGTGTTCTGCGTTGATGACTGGATCTTACGGGGTGGGCGACCATCTGGTTGGCGGTGATTGGATCTTAAGGGGCGGGGGTCTTAGCGGGCCAGAATTTGCCTTCACTAAGCCAACAACAACAAAGCTTGTATAAATGGGAAGGCACAGGTAATTTTTTCATATAAGGGAATCCATCTTGATGTAATTTATAAGTCCAATTTCAAACATTTTGAAAAAGAAGAAGAAAATGGGAAGAATCAGTCTACTCAAATAAAACCCCAAAAGGATTTGTGAGAATGATTCTAAAGTTCATCTAGAAAAAAATGTTACATATTCATAAGGTACTTTTTAAAATATAAGAATGAAAAGAATTGAAAGTTAAAGAATGTAAAGAAAGATAAAGTATTAAGCTAAAAGAAAAATGGCATAGCTATGTTAATATAGCAATGATTTTAAAACAAAAAATATTTTTAGGTAGGGTTTCATTTCAGGTTAGGTAGTGAATGATATACACTAGTATCTATATCTAGAAATATAGGATAAGAGCTAATTTACAACATCATTTTAAATACTTAGCTCATAGGTAAGTATACCAAAAATGAACCAGGTACCAGAAATGAACCAGAAACTGAAACCAGAGAGATTAACTGAGTTGATGCTTTGGCCGACATGAGTGGGGATAGTAGAGATTTGAAAATCTTGATATTTGAGGTTGAATGACCATATTCAAGAGGCCTTCATGAAGCAAAGGGTGGGAAAGGGGACTTTTCACACACACATACACCCACCCAAATGTCTGGATGCATGAAAGTATAAATTAGAAAAAAAATCTTCATACTATAAAAAGAGATACTAAAGGTTATGATTCTTGCCTTATAATTTATCATCATAATCTGTATTACTCTATACATAGTTTTAAATTAATACTACCTAGTTGGACCAGTAATTTATAATCTAAGAAATTAAGTGAAAACTCATCCTGGAAAACTTCTGAAATAGTCACTTTAGAATTTGGAGACAATGGCATTTAAAAACTATAGCCTTAGGTTCAAAGTTAAGTAGAGACATGGAATTTATAGAAATGATCTAAATCAAACTTCTAGAGATGAAAACTGTAATGTGCAATGAAATACATACACTGGATAGGATTAAGAGCAGATTAGATATTGCAGGAAAAGAGCTTAATGAACTTGAAGACTACCCAAAAAAGAAACATGTAGAGAAAATAAAATTAAAATTAAATGAACATTAAGAAAACATGTACAGGACTTGTATGTTGAAAACTATAAAATGCTGATGAAAGAAATCAAAGATTAAATAAATGAGGATAAATACCAGATTCACAGATTGGAAGACTACAGCTGAAAATAGGGGTGTCCCAAAGTCTGCTTTATTTTCCCATCAGTCTGATGGGTTTCATTGTTCTCAAACTGTAAGATAAGGATAAACATAGCATCACTCTCAAGTTATGAAAATTTAAATTCATAGAACACAGCCAGTTGTCCACCATTTTTTTCTATTTCCAAAGCTTTTACATGGCAGACATGGACTGTAGCAGAGGTTGCTAGTTGCCTGCCCAAACATCCATTCTCCCCCTCCTCGCAACAAAATCCCCAGTTTACTTAAGGTAGCACACTGAACTCAACTAAGACATCTCCCAGTGACTCTGGCAGCCTGGTATGGTCACGTGACTAAGTGATTGACAAAAGCATTTAACTGGAAGTATTCCATGGAATTTATAGAGTTTTCTTAAAAGCAGTGACATGCCTTTCTTCCCCTTCTTCCAACCTGTTGAGTGAAATAAGCACTTGATGGTTGGAGCCCTAGCAGCCATCTTGGACCATGAGGATATTGATGTCCACTGAGAAGAGCCAAGAGGCAATTTGGAAGGGAACTGGGTCTCCCCACTGACATTGTACAAGTGCCTTACCAGCTCTGGACTGCCTATGTCGACTTATTTTATGAGGGAAATAAATTTCTACTTTGTATTAGGGTCTGTGGTTGGAGTTTTCTGTCATATACAGATTAACCTACTTAACTGTTAGGCTGAATAGCCAACCAAAGGTAGGACCTAATACCTGGAACCTGCAAATATTAAATGGTAAATTTTAGGTAAGGCAAATCACAGTCAGGTGTGATTATGTTAAGGGCCTTTAGATAAGATTATCCTGGATTATCTGGGTGGGTCCTAAACTTTCTCCTGTATCACAAGTGTCTTTAGGAGAGAAGCAAATGGAGACTACAGACCAAGAGAAGGTGCCGTGAAGACAAAAGCAGAGATTGAAGCAATGTGATTACAAGCTATGGCCTGCTGGCAGCCATCAGAACCTGGCATGGATTCTGCCCTGGAGCCTCCAGGGAGAGAATGGTTCTGCTGTCCCTTGATTTCAGCCCAGGAACCCTTATTTCAGACTTCTGGCCTTCAGAAGTAAGAGAATAAATTTCTGTGGTTTTACACCACTTAATTTGTGGTAATTTGTCACGGAGCCATAGGTAACCTTAACTGATTAAAGGATAGTTACTCAGTTGGAGCAGGCTTCCTGACAGCGGCACTGGATTCAGAGAATATGGGTGCTATTTACTGGATAAAGAAGTCCAGAAAAATGAAATGATTAAACATCAGTCAGCTCTCCCCACATCTCAAAGCTGAAAAACCTCAGAGAAGCCAGCTCTCTCTTTCAGGTACATGATAGAAAATGCCATTTCAAATGGTACTGATACATATAGATGTTTAACAAACTCCCAGTGCCACACCACTATGGGTGGGGGACCTAAGAACGAGGTCCTCTGCCTCCCAGGACAGGCTACCTCCCTCACAGCAGCCGCATTAAGACAGTCTGTATTAGACCCGACTTACGGTTGTATCTCAGCCTGTTTCCCTCACTGTATCATTATAGGCAAATTATCATTGCCTATTCCCCATTCACGTCCCTTTCCCTGTAGTCAGTCCGTCTCCCATTGTGTTGACTTGACCCTAATATTCCCTGCCACCTGTAAGGAGCAAAACCCCTTTTATTACTGAAATGAGTTGTCACAGACCTTGCCTCCGACTTCTACAGGGCATCACTGTAATGGCACGTGGGCTCTGAAGCCAGCCTGCCTGCATTTGAATTCTACTCTATTTCCTGTGTCTTTGGGCAACCTAATGAATGTTTCCTCAACTATAACATGTAGTCAATTAGTGCACATACTTTATAAAGTTGTGTTGTGTGCAGTGACTATGCAAATGCCTGATACTGGTGAGTACCAAAGCAGCATTACTGCTGAGCACTTACTAAATGGAGGCTGTAGCTGATGCAGCATATGAAATTGCTCTAATCATTTTTTTCCCCTGACTGACTTATAGATTTTGTACTCAAAATGATCCCTCTAGATGTAACCCAATGCCTACAAAGAGTAAGCAATAAATGTGGTATATTCATGTAATGGAATACCATGCACCAGTGAGAGTCAATCTATACTGATGAGTCCCATTTACACAAAAACTTTTGGTGATGGTAGTCAGAACAGCGATTACCATGAGAAAGTTATGACTGGAGCAGGGTTCAGGGTGACACAGGGTGCTGGGATGTACTTTTTCCTGATCTTGGTGGTTATAAAGCTATTTTCTTATAAGAATTCAAGCTGTACAACCATGATGTGTGTTTTTTCTGTGCATATTATACTTCAATAGTTTTAAGTTTACTTTGGTCAGGCCAAGCACTAGATAAAACCACTCCTCCAACTGTTGGCAAGTAAGGAAGAGATGGTGAAGCCACGCAGATGCTAGACTTCAGGGAGCAGGTAAAGTTCAGTCAGGTAGGGACTGCTACACTGGTTGGCAGTAGAAGGGCACATGGGAGAGAAGAGGGTGCAGATTGCATTTATCATCCAAAAAAAAAAAAGGGGCCAGCTTTTCAAGACATCTCAGCACTACCTCTTAGAAGAACCAGAGCACTTCTTTGGCCCACTAACAAGATCAAAGGGCAGGGTGGGCATGGTCTTCTAGACAAACTGGTAAATGCCAAACTGTAAAAGTTACAGTAGTCTGGCATTTACCAGTTTCACACCTAGAACAGCAGTCATCCCAAATAAAAACTGAGCAAACAAAATGAGTTTTAAGAATGCAGGCTTTTGGTTTTATAGTTGTTTCTTGAGAATGGATACAATGCAGACATAGTTTTATAGTAACACTGAAACTTTTCTCACAGAGCTTAAGTTGTCAGAACTTCCATCCATTGGTGGTGTACTGATGTAGCTTGATCTACAAAGGGCTTCCCAATTTTGTTACAATCACAGGGACTGCGAGGACTACAGCTAAAGATTTTCCCACACATCGTATTAACAAAACATTTCTCCTCCATCATGTTTGTTTTCCCTGGAGACTTAAAATAATTGTTACACTCATAAGGCTCTGTTCTAAAAACTTAACTCAAACTTGCTTGAGTGAAACAAAAGTGGAGTTTATTGGTTACTGGAATTCAAAAACCCAGATGTATTTCTACCTTCACATACGGTTTCATGAAGTTGTTCAGAGAGTCTTCAAGACTGCAGACTTCAAGGCTGCTCTCCAAGTCTGATTTCTCTTTTGCTGTGTTGACTTTATCCTCAGCTTCCCTAAGAATCCAGGAAATCCTCTCAGCTTTAAGACTACATAAAAAGGAAGAATATTTCTCCAGAAACTGTGGCCAAGTCCTGGGACTAACTGGACCATCCTGGGTAACCTGACTCTGAGCCATCAACTGTGGCTTAGTGGAAGGAATCTGCATCTCAGCCAGGCCTGTGTCACACATTCCATTCCTGAATGGAAGATGGAATCCAAAAGGATATTTCGTGTACTACCAGTAAAAAGGGGTAAAAAATTCTGGGAGGCCAAAGTGACAAATATCCAGCACAGGTTTCTCTCCGGGGTGGGCGTGCTCATGATGAACTAGCTGGGAAGACGTCCTAAAGGTTTTTTCATACTTGAAACACTCATAGGGTTTCTCTCCAGTATGGAGTCTTTGATGCTGAAGAAGGGTTCTTTTGCTAGTGAAGACTTTCCCACATTCATCGCATACATAGGAAGGCCTCTGAATATGGATCCTTAGATGCTTTTTAAATTGTTCCTGAGCACTAAAGGCTTTCCCACAATCTGCACAGTCAAAAGGTTTCTCCTCACTGTGGACTCTCTGGTGTCGAGTTAGTTTTGTATGAAAATTGAAGGCTTGTCCACATACTTTACAAGAATAAGGCTTTTCCCCTGTATGAATACGCTGATGTTGGCTAAGATGGGAAGTCCTTCCGAAGCTTTTGCCACACTCATTACATTCATAGGGTTTCTCTCCAGTATGGATTTTCTGATGTCGAAGTAGTGGGGAACTACCAACAAAAGCCTTTCCACACTCATTACACTCATAAGGTTTCTCTCCAGTGTGGATTCTCGGATGTATAACAAATTCAGAACTGCTCGTGAAACTATTTCCACACTCCTTGCAAAGATAGGGTCTATCCCCACTGTGAATTCTCTGATGCCTGATCAGATTTGCATTATCATTAAAGGCTCTCCCACACTCCTCACACTGATAGGGTTTCTCTCCAGTGTGGATTCTCTGATGCCGAATTAATGAAGAATTGCCATTAAAGGCTTTTCCACATTGTCTACACTCAAAGAGTTTCTCCCCAGTGTGGATTCTCTGGTGTCTAACATAGTAAGAAAAATTGCTGAAGCATTTCCCACATTCCTCACACCTAAAGGGTTTGCTATCATATTGGATTCTTGGGACCTTTCCTCTAATATTTTTCACTGTGGGGATATCCTGGCACTTCTCCAGTTTACACGTTTCCAGGAAGTTGGTCCTCTGAGGAACAAGCTTCTGCAGACCAAGTAACAACATCACATCTCTTTCTTCAGAAATTCCCTGTGTTGATGTGATCTCAGCATCTGACATAGCAAACAGAAAACACAAATGCCACCTGAGAATTATACTAGAAACAAAAAAGTATAAAAAATTATAGGGGTTTCAGAGATTACTATTCTGACCTCCACGTCAGCCTGCTAGCAAGACAAGGCTATTCAAGTGAAAGTGCCAAATATCACATAAGCAGAGAATAGCTGAGGTGGAACAGGGTATCAGTGTACACACCATGCATCACACTGCTTCCTAAGCTTTTCCAGACTCTATTTGAATAACTTCTCCCTGGTATGTTCTAAGTATCCTTTGACCTTATGGTATTTATTGGCCTATAAAATACCAAAGAAGGCACAGGCTCTAAGAGCTAGTGGTGACATTGGGGCTAGCAAGACTGAGTAAGAATGCAAAGGAATACAAATGAATGAATTGCTGTTTCTTTAAAATTTCATATGCTTGAGATGTACCAAAAGACTGGGGATACAAGCATTAAGGGCACATGACTCTGACAAGACAGAAACGAAGAGACTAGAAAACTACAGAAGTGCTTAGAAGGCATCACCTGCAGGGGTTCTTAACTGCAGGTCCACAACGATGATGGAACCTCCTACAACACTGGCAATTGCTGTTTCATCACCAGACTCTCAAGAAAGTCTGAACCTCAAATATGCAGAAGCTACTGTCCTAGACTCTCTGCCTATCTGGAAAGGAAAGAACACAGCTGACTCAGATACACCAAGAATGCAGAGTATGCCTTCTCATAACAGCAAAAAGGAGACAGCCACCTGTAAAATGGCATTGTGTTCCTAAAGACTGGATAACATTTTACCTAAGTTAAGTCAATCTATTTTATACACAATGTCGGACTAATTTGTTTTAGCATTAATTCGGGCTATCTGGGACTCATCTGCCAGTTAATCAAGCTCATCCTTCAAGTGGGCTCTATCAGCTGTAGACTCCCTACACCTTCAGCCTCCTTCTTGAGTTCCTCAAATCCTCTTGGGCTTAACCATCAATACTTCACATCCAACTTTTTCTTTATAGTAGTGTTTTTCAAACTGCTGTGATACTGACATAGTGTATAACTATCAATTTTTTAAATGACACTAGTCTCTACTGGAAGAGAATGGGATGCACAACACTGCAATAACCAGGGTAAATTTTGTTTCCTGGTACTCCAGTTTCAGAGTACATATACGTATACAGGGTTTTGATGCAAAATGTAATACCTACTCAGGCTCATAATTAAAAAGTTTGAGAATCATTTGCTACTGTTTACTGTACTTTCTTCCACTTCCAAGTTTATCAAAATAAGAGGCTAAAGTGTTGATTCACCTTTTTCATCCCCCATTTATTCCCTCTCAGCAAACCATCTACCTGGAAATTTCTACTCTGGGCTTCATTTCATTGTTCCCTTTTGGTGACCCTCCTCTGTCTACTTTCTCTTTCCTCTCTCACTAAAATTAAATATCCCTTAATATTTAAGATTCAGCCTTCCTTTTTTCTCTCTGGGGGTCATTTCAACTAAAACTCTGGTACACTTTCATTTGCACTTGTAGACCAGATATCTACCTCAGACTCCACACCTGCCCTCTCAATGGCCTGTTCTAACCATCCACTTACATATTCTACAGGAACCTCAGACTCAGTGCTCAGATCTGATTGTATATGACTTTAAAAGCTCCTACTATGTTGTGACTTCGGACTGTTGTCTGACTCAATTCTCTCTTTTTATGGTGTTCTGGTAAGATCTGGTTGACTCTAGCTCTACATAGTCATTTCTCTTCCATTTTTGCATTATCACTATCCCCTACCCAATTCACACACTCAAAAGCTCAGGCCTGATACATGATAGTTTAACAGGATTTTATGCCTTCAAGAATACTTGCAGGTGGGCTCCAGAAATATCCATTTTTAAATAAGCTCCCCAGGTGATTATTCTGCACACTTAACGGCAAATTCTTCACAGTGATTCACTGGATCCTCTTTTCCCTTCCTCAGGCCAGATAATCTACCATTTTTCTCCACACAAAATCCATTGTAAGCTGTCACATTTGGAACACATGGCCTGCCAGTGAAGAAGCATTACTTGGGCTTATAAAAGGGAGTTCCTCTAACCCTTCCTTTTGCTGTGCTCCCATAGCCTCCGTCTATTTACCAACAGCAGCACTTAGTATTTTTTTCTGTTTAGCTCTTTCAATCTGGCTCCATAACCTGTATCCTCCAGAGCCTCCTAAACAAAGCTTGGCACACGTCAAGTGCTGAAAACTCCTCCTGAATAAATCCATCCCATCCAAGGACGAAGGGCCATCTGTCTAAGGCAGGCAGGCAATGCTGAAACCCATTCGAGAATTGCATATGAGATATATTAAATATGATACATAGAAATATATTATCTTAATTAGAGTTGAAATTGTTCATTTTAAAACACACTGCTCTGTAAAGCTCTATGGTTGCCGGTTCTAAACCTGCTGCACTTACCTTTACAGACACCTTTGGTTCTCTCTGCAGGTGGACAGTCCTGTGCCTCCAGGTCCCAAGGCAAATCCCCTCCCTCCAGATGTGAGATCAGGGCGGGTTTGGGAACTTGATATCCTGAAAAGGGAAGAAAATGGGACCCTCTGCCTGTGTCTTCTGTGTCCCATGAGCCTCAGCAGAACTGTATCTATAGAAGAGGGCTCTGGACTGGGGAAAGCCAAGGAGATTTTGATCAAGAAGAACCTGAACATTTGTGACCTCTTCCTACTTAAGAGTAAGTAAGTGGAATCCTATAAGACATTTGCAATCACAGGGAAGGGGTCACACCCTTTTCTAGACAATCTGGGGGTAGGGGAAAGGTTAGTAACAAGCTGAAATTTAGCTCTGACTTCAGAAACTACTTGTTCATTACTTTACACAGCCCCTTGGAGGATGGGATATACTTTTCTCAGGGGACAGCAATTCTGTACAATGGGACCAAACTGACCCAAGACTTCTCCCTACCCAGGAACCTCTGCAGGAAGTCATTTGGCCCTTAAGTGATCCATGCATTGGAGGATACCAGAGATACGACATCCCCAGCCATAAAGAGAAAAGGAAAGACGGAAACAGAAAAGCACAGATCTTAGTCCCAGGAGGAAAGTGGTCTTACCCAGGGATGTCAAGTTCCCATAATTCTCCAGCATCACACATCTGTAAAGGGCCCTCTGTGCAGGTGAAAGGCAAGCCCATTCTCTCCGGGTGAAATACACAGCCACATCCTCGAAAATCACCACCTCCTAAAACAAGGGTTCCTATTGTCCCAGAGTCAAACTTCTGGCTCAGGGCCGCAGTGTGGGGCACAGGAACAATATGAGAAAGGGGTCCTATTACAGATGGCTAATGTGACAAGGTGACAAAGATGGATGTCAAAACCATTAAGTGACTATTCCTACAAACAAAAATCTGGAACTTCTCTCACTACCAAAAGAGCTTCTATTAGGACATAAAACTTACTGTTATAAAACATGATAAAAACCATTTCAAAAACCCTGCAAAGTCTGGCACTAATCTCCCTAGAGCAAAATCTCTGATGCTGTAAATATGTTCAGTCTTTTACTGTTATATGTACAAGTGGACAAGTTGCTTCAGTCTGTCCAGATGCCCACTCAGGAGGCATTTCAGGACCCGTGAAATTCACTGCCCCAGTTAATCCACCTGTTCCCTGCATGTGCTCACTTGGCCCCAAACCGCAAGCCCACATAACTGAACAGGCATGGTTTGCCCTGAGGAGCCCACTCGTCCTGCCCCGTCTGGGCCCAAAGGGGCTGTGCTTTCTTTGCTCCAGAATGTCCCGCAGAGGGAGGTCAGTGCCTCTGGGGAAGTCTACACTTCCTGCTTCCGGATGGGCCTCCCGGGAGAACTGCTTCTGCCATCAAATTTCCACTGGGGAGCACTTATAGCTGCTTTCCTTTATACCTCCAAGACAATCAGTAACAGCATCTGCCAACCAAACGTCATGTTTTTTCAGTAGCCACCCCTTCCCCTCCCTAATGGCCCCAAATTACTTTCCCAGAAAGCTTCAGCCTCTGGTTAGGCCCTCTATTCCCTCCTCAGACTCTGGTATCAGATTTGGCTGCCTGAGCATACAGTGACTATTACCCTCCCACCTCGCGTCACCTCGATGGGTCTGCAAGTCTCCTTCCACAAGCCCTGGCACTGCCAACCCAACCCGTCTGATCCGCCAGCCAACACCAAACTCACCTTCTTGCCAACATGATCCTCTTCTAATTCATGGTAACAAATTGGCACGGTGAGTGAAAACTTTGCTTCCCTATCACAGTGAACAGTACCAGTTTCAGCTTAGTCATCTATATGAGAAACTCGAGATTCATCTTAGACTAACTCACCCCAGTACTGCTCATTTCTGATACACATGCAATTGGTTATCAAATCCTGCCAATTTTACTGCCTAAATATTTCTGGAATCTGGCTTTTCTTCACCAGTCAGTATGCTAGTTCAACAGCTGGGGACATGTAGCTCCAATTCCAGGCTGTCCTGCACTGAATCTATCCTCTGCCAGCACATACAATGTGTCTTTAAAATGACAATCAACCCAGTCAACTGAATAACTTAACGAGTTACCACTAACTCCAACACTGGTTCTCAGAGTGTGGTCCCCAGAGCAGCTGTGTGCCCCTGCGAAGACTTGGAAAGGCAGACTGGTGGGCCCTATGCAAGAGCAATTTATGCATTAATGAGACCTCCAGGTGATTCTGATGCACACTCAAGGCTGAAAACCCAGGACTAGAGGATAAAATCTGAGCTCAGGAAACTACTTGCATCGGGTGACAAGTAGATGCACAGGGGGAGGCACAAGACTATACACAGAGAAACTGGCTAGGAAGCTCTGTTAACAAAATCCCAGAGAATGAATGACAAACCCTAAATGAGGGTAATATATATATATGGGCAAATGGAAGAGAAAGCAGGCAGAAGGAGTGGGACTTGGTGCCTCTCTAGAAGTGGCATCAAGGGAAAACAGAGTCAATAATTACTCTGCAATCTAGGAAATGAGTGGTCAGGGTCGTGACACAGTGACACAGTGACCTACCAGTACTGAGAGGAGATCAGAAGAGGATGGGAGCTACAAGGAAGACAATGCATCGCTGACATGGTTGGGCAGAGGAACCTGCCAGATGTCAGACATCCAGGATTGGTACTTGGGATATGGTTCGCGGATGGCAAGTTACCGGATAAGTCAGTCCCAGGATGAAGGAAACAGTAAAGCAACAACCAGCAACTCGTCAGTTTCAAAAAACAAAACACAACTCAAGAAATCCATTTCCCTGTCCCACAAATATAAGGTACTTAATGTCATTTAACAAATGAAGTCAGTCAAGATCTACAGAGCTTAAGTGACTAGCACAAGGCCACTGAGGCCTAACGGGATCCCTAACTTCAAGTGTCCTGTCCTAGTGCAGACTGCTCCTATCACAACTGCTGCCTCACCTTGGCCAGCAGCACTGCCCTCAAGGATGTACTTTCCCTGACTGTGAACCCCAAACTTCTTTCTTTAGGAGGATAAATGATATAAATCCCCTTTTTCCCACCTTCCTCCTGCAGTCCCTCTGCCCCCACTCTGCAAGAACCCTGATCATCTCCATCACTCCCACCGAATACCGGATCCCTGCACCACCAGCCTGGGCCCTGCATTCTCACGGATCCCGCTCTGGAGGCAGCTACTGAACCCCAAGGACCCTCCAGCTCAGCAGAGCCTCAGAGAGCAGGAGGCTGGGCCTCTGCTTCCAGGACACTCTCTCCAGCCGCCGCTCGCCAGGCTTCTGGCTGCTCACCGCCTCACCGCCAGCTCTCCCCCACCACCTCCGGCATCCAGTCCCACTGGGGGATAAGCAGGGGCCTTCCTGCTGCTTTGGCTCTAAGACTTCTGCCAGAATCATCCCTCTCACCCCCATTTCCTTCAAATCAGATCTCTCGAGGGCTGACCTGAGGGACCCACAGCTCACCTGGTGCCAGGCTTTCACGGGCACGGCTGCCATCACCTGGGCTCCCTCTCAGGAAGGACAGAGCTGGGGGAAGAAGCAAAGAGAACCAAGAGTGAGACCAGCCCAGTCAAAAGGTCTCCTTTAAACTGACAAACCTGCCAACAACAATAAAAGCGATCATTTCCTGAACGCCCACTGGGTAAGCTGTGTATAAATATTTTGTTGAATCCTAAGGAAAAAGATTTTCAGAGGGTAAATAACTTGCCCTTGGGCACCAGAGGCTGTACTCACCAACATCAAGCAATGCCATCCTAGGTAAGACATAAGTACCAGGGGAATATGAATACACAAAGAGCAAAACAAGCAAAAGACACCAAAAAACCTGAAGCAAAAACTTCACAAAAGGAAACCTAGGCTTTTATTTTTAAAACTAAAATTTTGCTCAGAAACTTAAAAAAGTTAAATAGAAAGAAATACGCTTTTGGATGAAAAATATACATCCCTCCAGTTAGTTCCCACAATGAACCTTTTCATTTTTCCTCTGAAACTTTTTTTTCCCAAATGAGAAAACAAGGCTGTAAGAGCAACTTCTCTACCAGTCACTCAACTGATGGATGGATGAACTTGGATCCCAACCAGAACTCCCAGATTCCAATACTAGACTTTTAGTAACTACATTAAATTGCTTCCACTCAAAATCCCAACAGAATTTGTTTTATAACCTGATAAAGTAATTCTAAGGTTAACATGGAAGAACAGATGAAAGCAGCCAAGACAATTCAGAATTTCAGTAAGTCTTCCTTTTCTTGGACCTTGGGGCAGGCATCTTTTTTGTTTAACACCCCACTCTATGGCCCACTGATAACCAAAACTGATTAGCAAAAGACCCTCAAAGGCTACCTCAACATGCCAAAATGTCTGGGCATTACTTTAACTGTATCATTTCCTAAAGACACTGTATTCTTGTGGAACAGTCATCTTCCACCAAAAAGACACCATCTTCCCTAAGGAAACTCACTGCATGCTGTTATTTACCCTTGGCCTCATCTTGTGCCACCCTTCTTAGTTTAGCCACTCCTGCCTTCATTCAGTTTCCTCTACAATGCTAATTCAGCACTCACCAACATCTATACAAACATGTCTCCATATGAACCACTGTTCTCCAACCTTATAGCCTTCTTAACTGATACTCTCTGCCTGCAATACTCCCCAGCAGCCTGACCCCTCTTCACCTATCCAATGGCAGCTCATCCTTCTCATACCCTACAGACGAGGTCAGGTCCCCATGTTACATACTCCAGGAACACTGTATTCGCTTTCCTGTATGCCACACCCCCAATTTACGATTATACACTGATCTGTGCTTTCTTCCTGCAACATTTATCGCACATTAATTTGACGTCAGGTCAAATGTAAGATACAGTGGAGAGGGGAAAAAAAGGTGTGACCCTTTCTATTCTGGAGCTCAGTCTAAAGTAAACACACACAATAATCAAAGAGTCTTGTAAATAACTTTAAGACTATTGTGATTAGTGCCAGCGTTAATCTATACAAGATGGAAAGACTTAAGAGTAAGAATTAACTAGGTCAAAAGGAAAATCTTTACAAAGGTAACAGCAAGTGCATAAGCATGTTCTGTTTGTGTGACAGAGCCAAGAGGAGCGTGCTGCAAAGGGAGTTGTTGCAAGAGACCAAGCCACGCAGGGCCTTGTGCACTTTAAGAACTTGGTCTCTGACCTAAAAGCAATAGGCCGCAGCTACTTGGTTATCAGCAGATGGACTGAAACGGTCAGATTTGATAGTATGTGATTTTCCCATTAAACCGGAAGCTCCCCGAGGGCGGGGCCCACTCCCGTCGCATTCCCAGCTGCATCCCGGGAACCCAGCACAGCAACTGGCATTTGGCTTTTCAGTAAGTGGGTGCTGGCCCCATGAACGGGGACTTGTGGCTGTGTCGGACACGTAGGGAATCTCCTTTTCATCCACAGCCTCCGCGTCCAAAGTGGCCGCCGCGGACCGAGGTGAGGGAGGGCGAGACTGGCTCGCTGATGGCCTTGGAATCGTTCCACCGCAACGTCAGGGTCGAAGGCGGTAGGTAGTCTTCTCTAGGGGCGAATGGCGCGCTCTCAGAATAGACTCCCGGGTGCCAAGCCCCAACACTCACCTCGGGAAAGGCGCAATGCGCGGCGTGCCCGGAAGTGCGTCATTACGCTGGCCGCGTTGCCCAAGCCTCACGAGCTTCCTCTCTAGGATGCCAGAGGGAGCCTCTCAGTGGTTCTCTGCCTTCACTCCCCAGTGGGGGCTTTTCAATTTGGAGTCCTCAGAGACCTTGATTAGGGGAGAAGGAGTATTGTGGTTTAGTTAATCTTTAACCGAAGTTTGGCATTTCTTTCGATTATGTGTTGGCAACGAAACACAGTATCAGTAGCACCTGTGACTTTACTGACGAATAAAAATAACACATTTTCATAGCACACTATAATTGATTAAAAAACTCAAAATATGAACTATTCTCATTACTAATTTAAAATTATCGTCCTTGTTGTTAGGCTCACCTTTAGATCTTGCATTTCATTCCATCACATTGGTAAAGATGCACATACATTAATGTATCACAAATTTATTTTTTAAACTAACTGCATTTTAATGTAATTGGTTTTGGAAGTGCCCACAGGTGTCATTACCCTGACAAAAAGGCTTTTAAATTAAAAAAAGCTGTCCTTCACATTACAAAAGACCAGGACTAAGAAGGGATACATTAAAGAACTATTTAAGAAGTGAAAAGTGAATTTTTAAAAATTTTATAGAGATATGAGGGAGAGAGAGCAATCTATGAGAACTATGAAGCTCGGGTGGCCTGACAGATGAAGGTGTCATTAACTGAGATTCAGTTAATTGAAGAATTCAGGAAGAGAAGCTGGTTTCAGGCAGGGAGATTACAGAATTTGATTTTAGACATACTGAATGTACAGACACAAGGTTTATTAAAATATAGTTCATATCCCTTACAACTCACCCATTTAAACTGCACAATTAAGCAGTTTTGGAATATTCAAAGAATTATGAAACCACCACCACAAAATCAATTTTAGAACATTTTCATCAACTCAAAAAGAAACCCAGTAAGCATCAGCAGTCACTCCCCATTTTCCTTGTGTTAGGCAGAATAACAAAATTTAGGAATAACAAGGGGGATATATTGAAAATATTTTTTAACAGGAAAAATGACCTGAGTACAATGCTAGGCTAATAATTTGTAAGTGTTGGTAGGAAATTATAAATTACTAACACGGGTTCAAGGAGAAATGTAACTGACCAATGCCATGAAGGGATTAATAAAGTAGTCAAACTGCTCCTCTCCTCTACACTACCCCACAAAAAGCAACTGGCCCAGGCAGCTTGACAGGTGGACCTTCTTCAAATTTCCAACGAACAGATAACTTTAAGGCTTTTGAAACTGTTCCAGAGCACAGAGAAAAAACAACCATCTATTTTTAGCAGTCAGGTATAACTCAATTCCCAAATCTTGACAAAGATGGAAAAAAGTTACAGGGCAATCATACTTATGAATATATATGACAATATCCTAAACATGTTAACAATACTATCAAGCAGGTTCTAAAGAAATTTATGATACCATATCTAAGATTATGAGAACATAATATGACTCAATATTAGGAAAAACATTAATTATATAAATAGGTCAAAAAAGAAACATCTTGAAAGATATATGATATAAAATTCAGCATACATTTCTACTAGAAACTGAGGAAATAAACACTTCTTTTAAAGGCTTTCTACTTAATACAGTCATCTTAGCCACAGAATATTCATTGATGGAGATTTGCTTTTATAACAACTTGAAATTTTCATTACAAGTGCTTAAAGTGCTGTAATTTCTACCCATTTGGGATACGTGAATGTGGAGCTGCTTAACGGAAGCTTAGTGGATTTCTCACATTCACCATACTCGAGTGTTTGCCCTTCTGTGAACCATCAGAATCAGAGCTATATTGTTTCCAGCACATCGCATATGTGAAAGGTTTCTTCATAGTATGAACTGAATGATGCCAAGTCAAGTTTATGTTAACTTTGAATGCTTTGAAACATATGAGACATTGACGTAGCTCGCTACCAGTTAAGGAAAGAAAATCCAACTCAAAACTATTTAAGAAAAAAAAGAAAAAAAAAGGAATTTATTGATCATGTCACTGAAAAGCCCAGAGGTAGATTTATTTCTCTCAGTTTCTCAGTCTGTCATCCACAGGGTTGGCTTTCTTCTGAGTGAGCCTACATGATGCATCAAGGCTAACATCCAAGTTCAACAGAAAATAATCTCACTTCCTGGTAGGTTTTGCACAGTGAAAGCGTACATTCTGATTGGATGAACTTGGGTCACATGAACAAACAGCATAAGTAGACCAAACTAGGCTGTAAATTCCACCCCTGCAGTGAGGAATAAAGCTCCACATAAACCACATGAACCGCTGAATGGGGGCAGAGTTGGCATTCCAAAAAAAGGCGTAAGGCAGTAATTACCCTGAAAGGGGGGTAAAAAGAACCAAGGGCCAGCACAGGATTCTCTCTAGGGTGGACATACTCATGAT